TTCCTTCATCATTTGGTACCAGCATCTCTGAAAGTAATTCCTTGTAGTAAACTAGCTGAGTCAATAAGATTCAATAAGAATTTTTTTTACTCAGAAAAAACTTAGGAAATCAATTTGCTTCGTTCAAACTTTTCAAACAGCTAACTAAGTTCTGGTCATTAAAAACCCACATATACACAAATGGGAAACAATCTTATTTCAGTAATAATTAAATGTGCAATGTAATTTTTTCCTCCATATACTTCTTTAAATGTGTTAACTTACTATCAGTGTCAATGCTATATTATTTTCAGTTGAACTGAATGACTCAAGTCAATTAAAATGTACCTGCCAGTTTTTATCATTAATCAAAACAGATGCTTCTCTAATAGAATAGTTTTATTAAACTAGGCCAGGGGTTACCAAGATACAGTCATGTCATATGGTCCACAGGGCTCTCAACTGGTCCAGAAATTTGGCAGAGTGGCAAGCAGGGACAGTGTTAATTGCCATGGCTCTTGCAATTAATAGCAATTAACAATAACGCTTGTGCTCACACCACATTTCCAGATCTGTGAAGAGCCCATCAGGCTTGCTCCAGAGCATGGAGCTGCATCATTTAGTCAGCTGGGAAGGAAATTTGATAGTGGAAGGAGTGGCAGCTACCACAGTTTCAGGAGCTGCTACAATTAAAGCTGCGGAATTCCAGCCCTGAGGCCCAGGTGCCATTCCCATGGTCTGGACCTGCACTGTGGATCCATCCCATGGAGCCAAATGAATCAGACACAACTGAACTAGGCAGTTCAGGCTCTGCTAAGAGTTAGAATTCAGGTCATCCATTTAAATTTAGAGTCCAGATGGCTGTAAAATGGAGAAAACAGGAATAATAATTTAGACCTTAACAAGTTCTTCCCAAAAAATTAAAGTATTCAAGGTATCTGAATACTACAAATAGAAAAGTAGTAATCATCTTAAACTGAAATATAACACAGATAAAGGCAGAAACATTTTAAAGCAAAATAATAAGCTAATTCGGGTTAAAAAACAAAAAATTACAGAACAGGTAGGAAGCGTGTTTACTGGTCACTGCAAAAGATGAGTACTTTTATTCCACACTTTGACTGTGATCCTGAGCAAGCTACTTAACATTCCCCTATATATTTACCTGCATTTTACATTGTAAAAGTGTGGTTAACACCACCTACTTCACAGCAAAATAGCACTTCTTATCAATATAGAATTGAGTCACTCAAGTGGAAGTGCAACTGCAAATTCTTTGCTTTTCAGAGAGCTGCCCTCTGAGCAAAAGTAGCTGTTGCATTATTCTAGTCCAAGAAACGTTTGATCTGCTCTGTCCTCAGATCTATACCAAAGTTTTCACCACCCATTTTCACTCCATATGGAAGAATTTAAAAGGCTTCCTCATCTTAATTGTGTTGGGGGAAAAAGAAAGAAGAAAAACTACTGACTAAAAAAAGGGAAGGAAAGTGAATTTTATACAATCAAGGTAAAGAAAAAGAAAACAACTCTCTTCTACAAGTAACTATGCTATCCAGCAGTTTCAAGATATATCTGGCAACTTGTAGTATCCATAGAGAGGATTCTGCTAATTTTAAATGGAGTTTTTATGATAGGAGGGACAGGTGGGACAAGCCTGAAAAGGAACCAAAAAGCTATTCACATAAGACCATTCTTCATCCTGTTATGAAAGAATATGATGTTTTATAAAACTTTATAACAGATTGTCTGGAGTGGCTTATCACCCAACTGGACAAATAGCAGCAAATTTGACGTCATGGTTTATTATGGATTAACACTAATTTAACCAACAATGGCATTGGCCTAACATTTCTTCCTCAAATAAGCTGCAACTGATCTGTCAAAAAGTTACTACAGTCTTCAAAATGACAGTCTGGGGGAAAAAATTAGGCATTTTAAAATATTCAACTAATGATGCAACCTGACTTGTCCAGTTAAGTTAAATTTCAAAGTAAATATCTAAAACTTAATCTTAAAATCCGTTTTGTGTGAAACGTTGAGATTGTCAGGTATAAAAGGTGCTAGATTTTAAAATACTCCACTGCACTCTGTTTTGTATTAAAGGAATGATTCTTTGTTCGTTAAGGTATTAGTTTTATTCTGAAGGTTGATTCAGTGTTTAATAAAATATTGTAAATGATTAATATTTCATTTCAATTGATCCAAAGGTCTGGAATAAGGCATGAAAATATGAAAAATAAGGATAAAGTTTCTAACCAATTTAAGCTTAAATCCCTGCAGCTGTCTTAGCCCAATAATGTTGATTTTTAAGGAGGAGTTGTTTTGTTTTTTTTTAAGATGAGAAGTCTTATAGATCTCATCCTACTTACTCTTCGACAATACTCGTATTGCCTTCACTGAGATAGTTAGATGAAATGAACAGTACTTGAACACTGCATGACTGCTTTCAGTTCAAACAAATGATGAAAAAAGAAAGGTGCGCGTTTCCTTTTATAAAATTTTGGAAGCCTCCAGACAGGTAAGTAAGCTCCAAAAATCTGAAGCCCTAAAATTAAAATAGGGATGTGCCACAGAAAGGATAAGATATTGCCAGCTGAATTCACCAAATTTCCAAATATTAAATCACAGCAACATTTTAAAAAGTATCTCTCTTCTTGCTCCCTTGTTCAGCCAACACAAACCTCAGATTAATCTTCTTTTTCAAATGTGAAAGTCTAAGGAAAAGCAATAGCTGAAGGAAAACCTAAGTAGCAGGAATTTAACAAGGGCAGTTCAATTTCTTCAAATCCTAGAAGCACCAAACATCAAAGTAAAAGAAGCAAATGTCTGAAAGCAGTTTTGGCAGCATCTCTACAACAAAGTATCAGCAGCTTACAACATCTCAAAACTCTTGCTCAGCTCAGCAGCAAGAGTCTCCTCCCCAATTTCATTTGTTAAACTGTTTTGAAAGAAATAACTCCCACTCAGCTGTTTATTCATCCACAGATATCAGCAGTGTAATTTGTCTCTCTGGAAGGTATCCTTGTAACAGCATTCATGATACTAAGAAATATTTAAAAGTCTCAAACACCCAGAAAACCTCAAGCTCTGTATTTCTACCCCTCATTATGCAGAAGAGCCAAAATACCTGTATATAGGTTTCCAAGTTCTTTCCTGCAAAGCTACTCTATTTTTTCTCTCTATAAAAGATTTGCTTGCATAAGAGGAAGTAAGGGTCCTCCTTCTTTAGTTCGAGAAGTTCAATTTTCCATATCAGTCATTCCAAAAAAAATGAGTAACAGTATAACAAATGTATCAGCAAAATTTGGCCTGACCCCTCTCATTTCTGCAACATACAATGCACAAATACAACATACATAGATTATTGCTCATCATAGCACAATCTAGCCAAGCTACCCTCCTTAAAGAATGGGATCCGATAAAGTACAATAAAGTCTGATTTTTTTCTGCCTTCATGAAAAAACTGTTTCCCACTCAGACTGCAAGTCTGAAACTGAAAGCCTCGCTTCAAAAAGACAAAACTTTGGAATAAACCTGCTACTAAAAAGGCCTAGAAAAGTAGTAGATAGTGTTGACTGAGGCAGCACAGAAAGACCAGAGTCATGGAAATGGGATATATGATGGCAAGTATGAAGTAAGAAGAGATCAGTAAGAATACTCTCTAATCTGGGACTGCATATATAGCCACATGATGGGAGCAGAGAATTCACTCAAAGGAACGTAGAACCCTAGCATGTAGGAGGGGGTAAAACTGAGAGTCTAAGTAGGGGGAAGTGTGACATACAGCTCAGTAGTTGACGGTAAAGCCATTTAAGACACTGCCAAAAAAGCCCACACCCTTTATGCTCCAAGGGGCCTCAAAAAAAACTCTGTAGTCTTCTTAACTGATATGACACCCTCTTTTAGGATAATGGCATAAACACATTCCATATATAAAAATGCCATGCATAAAGAAATCCTAGAAAGAAGTTATCAAGTTTCCTACACACTGCATTAACCTGATTTCTAGTTTCCTTTCTGGTCCTTGCGATTTTGAGAAATTCATACTAGCCTCTAACACAGTAATATCTTTTATTTCAATGTCCTATCATATAATCCAATTATTTTTATTTATCACTCCATGTCTGAAATAGCTTTTCCTTTATATTCTTTCTAGAATTCCTTAGCTTACCATTGAAAAATTAACTCCCTTGAGGAACATTACAAAGTATTTTCAGAATATTTTTAATATAGATCTCTAAACATTTGCCAAGAACATATACACATCTTGCTGTTGGAAAACTTTCCAATCACATTCATTAAAAAGATAGCATTCTACTTGCTTCTGGGTCATGCATGTGACAAACCAGGATAACGCTTGACCTGTGGTGTTAGTGATGACAGCACTGTGCTGGGAAGTTAGAAAGATACAAGTTCAAACCCCTTCTGAGCAATGGCACCTGGAACCTGAGTCTCCAGCTTCCCAGCTGAGTTCAGTTACTAGAGAGAGCCCTCTTCCTCCTCCTGAGTCTAACCTACTTTTGGGCTGTCTACATTTTAGGCACCAATTTTAGTCTGCATCACCAATGGGTACATGCACACAGGCAACCAGTGCATAATCTACTGAACATGCTTATTCTACATGCATAATGCATGTGTTCATACACTCATCCCCACTGCTGGAAAACAGAACCCTACCCGCATGTAAATACCAAAAATGCTATGTCAATGATTAAAAAACCACCACTGAGACAACCCAAGAAAAGAGAATTCCACCCTATATTTTCAATATAAAAATCTCAATAGAAAAAACTATTTTTAAAAGTGTATGAGGTATCAGGTCAAATGCTAATGTCATTCTGTCAGTTTTTTCAATTTGTTGCAACTAACAGCAAAGAATCAAACATGTTATAAAACATCAAAGTTCAGTAATTCTTGACACGTGTATTTTAACCCTTAAAACCCTTAAAACACTTAAACGTACTACTTTAAATTCGCTTATTTTCAGAATCAGCCAATGGTGAAGTTATATAAACACTTACCGGCCCTCTCAAATCAATGAGTTCCTGTCTCATTTGGGACACAAGAGCTTCTTTAGCCATCAGAGCACGGTGAAGTCTCTCATTGAATTCTATAAGCTCCCCATGCATTTCTGCCACCTGAAAGACATAGAACCAAAATTTCAGGTGAAGAGAACAGAATTTCCAAGGTGAAGATACTTCACTCTGAACTGAAAAAGATCAGCAATATAGTTAATGTCCATGGTATTATAAAGTAAAAAATATGAGAGATTTGCATGTTTCCCGGACCATCATGGTTGCATCACTCCAACACTACCAAAGTAAAGAACACATACTTTCCAGTTAATGAACAGTATTGTCAATGCAATAGTTTGGATAGTGATATTGCACTGTTACAATGAATACACTTAATTTGACTCATGCTATATTGCTTTCCCAACAGAAGAGCACTCAGAAGTAATGGACTAACAACACTATTTGAATTAAGAATGGTGCAGACAGGTAACCTACATACAGCTCTGCCAATAGTACACCACATCAGACTTCTCTCCCCCAGTGGAACCCTCATTTGATATCCTCATTAACAAAACCCTTTTGGAGAATACATGCCAAAAAATCATTCAGATAGCTGAAATAATTTGGACGAAGGACTCCACAACATCTTGGGGAGAATTATACCCACTAACACACAAAGCAAAATAAATCATACCAAGCTTAACAGTCATATATATAATGCAGAAATACCTAAGAGAAAATAGCTTGTTATAGAATACTAACTGTTACAAATTAGAAAATAAACTGCTGTCCAGTTAATAGAGCATTTCCTTAATGGAAGAGGGATTGTATCTTGCTCTCATATCATAGTTCAGCAAAAACTGTTAAAGCATCCCAAATTATGTATTGTTCAAATTCTAGAATTTTACACCTACCAAGTTATTTTGATACATAATTTTAAAAGCTATTTTTAAGTCAGAACTTTGTAGAGGTCTACACTAGGGATCAGCAAGCTACAGCTCCCAGGCAGGTTCTGGCTGGCAAAGAGGCTGGATTCAGCCCCAGAGGCTGCATCCACACGTGGTATGGACATTTGGTTCCTTGAGGACAACTAGCAGCGGCACACCTTGCACTGCTGCTAATTGTCCCTGGGGAACACCTGTGCCACACATGCTCTGGTGCACAGCAAGTTACCCTGGGAAGGTAGGCACTGGGCTGGCCCCTGCAGCCTCACCTGGGCTCCTGGAGCTGCAGCAGCAGCGATTCTGCCATGCAGAGCCTGGCCGGCAGCTGCAACACAGGTCCAGGTAGCTCGGCTCTGCTTTCGAGTGGCAAGCACTGTCCCCCACGTGCACTGCTCTGTTTTTTTTCTCTGCAGGCTTTTCTGACCCCTGCAGAGAAAAACTGAACACATGCTGCATTACCACATACCACACGGCCATGCTTGTCTGGAAGTGGCCAGAAAGTCTGACCAACTCTGGGGTGGCATTGGTGATAGGGAGGCATGGGTGGGTGTGGCAAGGCACTGTTGGTGCCTGCCACTTCAAGGGCTGGAGCTGACAACAGCCAGGTGCTTGATTGCAAAGACCACTTTGAGATCCAGGCTATATAGGGGAAGTAGCAGTTTGCTGCTGCCCCACCAGGAGAGAGACATCAGCTGGCAGAGCTGAGGCCAAGAACACCGTGCAGGTCTATGGGCTGGGGCTATGGGAATAGAGGAGGCTCATGGTCCTGGGCATGACCTAAAACTGCACCCTGCCAAGGTAGGGAGGCCTGGTGGGGCTGCTGATGGCACAGCAGCCCTATGAAATGCCAGGACCACAAATGTCCCTGGTGAAAGGTGGGTAGGGGGCACCTAATAACCTCCAGCCCCCACACAGTCCTAGTTGGTTGTGAGTGGGATACTCAAACTTATCCTCATCTCTTCTTTATACTTTCCTGCCATGACTGAGATGGAGGGGAAAAAAAGGGCGGTTACTGTTTTACTGTTGTTCCTGGAATGCCACCCTGATGCCAACTGCTCACAGTGTAAGTTTTATTTCCAGCTTCAGTGATAACAACATCCTTGCCAAATACTTCATTGGTGAAGGTGATCAGTATTACAATCAGGAAATACTCCATCTTGGTACTTAATTAGCGGCGAAGAATCCTCATTATCTCATTAGCAGCATACACTCCCCGCGTTCCTCACTCTCCGTGAGTGCACGATCTGGGAAGTAATCTTCTAGCTACTCCCTCTCATAATCTGTTCCCTGCTTCCAGTTTCCACTATCTGCCTGGGCTCTAGCCTTGGGGATAACCCCAATCTCCTCTTTTACTCACTGAGGAGCACGGTCCCATCTTCTTAGGAGTCCCAGCAGATCTGCCACCTGGCGTTTCTGTCTTCTCCCACACTCACCAGCACAGTCAAGTTCACAGGTGAGACAACCCCCTTTGCTGCTGTCCTGCCACGTTCCTCAGGGATTCACTGCCTGGTGTCTCCAGTTTTTTCCTTTTTCCTGTGCTCATCAGGACAGCGGGACTCCCGGGAAGATAATCCTTTCCGCCACTAACTTGCTGCATACTTCAGGGCTCTGCTCATCCCGGACTTCGTCTATATCTGCAGTAAGTCTTCTTCTCTCTCTCTGGGGCTTCGTCACTCCCTGCTTCTTCTGGTGCCCAAAGGCAAAAATCAATGCTCTCCCGCCGTCTTTTATCTCCCGGTTTTCGCGGGCTAATCACGCAAACTTTTCCCGGTTGTGTACTGTCCACCACCTGGCAGAGGTCATCGTCGGGTCAGTCCTGCCTGACTCTAAGTAACAGGACTCCTGCCTGAGTCCCTGTTCCACTGGTGAATGCCCAGATCCGGAAGAGCGTGTGGCCTGTGGGTCAGCTGTTCCAGTCGAGTTGGGAGGGTAAAAATAGCCAAGCACCTTAGACCTGACGCAAGGGACCTTGACTAGCCCGTGCTGGGGCCAGGACCCAGGGAGGAGTCGAAGGGCCAAGGGCCCAATGTGAGGGATGCCCAAAAAGCAACAGGCTCAGGATCCCAACTGGCCTAAGATGGGGCCAGGGCCTAAGGAGGAGCCGAAGGTCCCAGAGAGGGGACCACAGCTAATGGGGTGATGGGTATGGATGAGTTTAGCTGCCTGGGAGTCCATCTGCAAGGACTGGGCCACAGTGCAGGGATGGAACAGAGCTGCAGATATTCCCCTAAACATCGGGGTTCAAAATGGGCAGCCTCTCACCTCATTAACATCTTAATACTATTACATCAAAGCATGGTAGGTAAGTGAGGTGGGCGGCTGGCCCACAGGAGGCAGGCCGGTGCTTGCACCGGGTGTGAAAGCTTGCCCCATCACAGTGAGATTTACAGCCCATGGTAGGGACCAGGTCACAAGCTCTGGCCCATGGAGGCAAATAGGCTTCCACCCCCGCAGTCTACAAAATAATAGGAGACTAAATGTAATTGCATAGCTAAGTACAAAATTGGAATTCTTCTTCTGTTTTGTAGTTATTTACCTTACTTTTTCTCTACCCAGTTTACCATCCTTACCTACTAAACAGTATACTTCACCCAACTCCAGAAAGCAGGAAAACAGCTTTTAAGTCACTTCAGACAAGTTGGAGACTGTAGGGCAGAAGTCCATATATTTTTGCTACACCCTTTGTCCAACTTCAGGGAAAGAGGGGACGGAGGCAGAGTAGAGACTGCATAGGAGCAACCTCCATCACCTTATTCCAGCAAAGTTTTCTCCTGCACAAGCAGATTTTTAGGTGATCAGCTTCAGCCAGAGTCCAGAACAGAGCAGACTGGCCCATACCATTAACATGACCCACACAAAATGAGCAAACTCTCTATAAAGCAATTCTCCATGCATACTATACAAGATGCTTTAATGATATTCTGGGCTCATTTTGTTTTCTGAAATGTCACTTTTGTGAATTTACCTTGAAACTATAAAGCAGGCCCAGTAAATGAACTATACCTTGGTGGTATAAGAACCACTTTACTGTTAGCAGCAAAAGCCAATGTGAATTCTCTCACAGTGTGGTTAGAAATCTTACACAACAGAATCACTTATTTATCCAGACAAATGAAACTAAATAATCTAATAGCAGTACTGCAATATTTTATATCAACTCACAAAGCATTTAGAACTTGTGATATGACTGAGTTATCGCTTCAGTTATGCACGTCTTGAAATAACTTTGCATTAATGAGGTTTGTATATTTAATCTTATATAAATTGTTTGTGTGTGCTGCTACAATTTTAATTTACTGCCTTTGTTTCTGTTCCTGTCTTACTTTTCTGTTTTACTTAATCCCATTAAAGAAGCGCACTTCCAGCCTCACTTGATTTAATAATTAGAGGCTTCCTGATTAATTACTCTATTCTTCCTTCTTTTGATAAGATCAAAACATTAAGATTTCCATACTAACAATTATGGCATTATGTATTCATACCCCAATTGTTCACTCAACATCAGTCTTGATGAAGAAGTTTAATTTGAAACACTTGTTAGTAATTAGTAAGCTTATTTAGTCAAAATAAAAGATATGTAAAAACACATGAATTTCTGCAGTATAACTAACACAGCATGGTTCCTGCTTCTGCACAAAGCATCTTAAAAATTTTGCCCTATCATTGCTCCTCCACCAATTCCAAGCCAGAGTGGTTGGACTGACATTCACCTCTTGCAAAGATGATGAAGAGATTATTTTGTTTTTGAACCACTCCTGCTTTTCAAAACTTTCAGTACTTTGACTATAGAGAATAATCTGTTTAAATTTTCTCAGTATTTTTTGTATTAAAAATTTCTCTGACTCACAAATTTCTCTGACTGGAGATTTCTTTGAAACAGAAGTAAATGATCCAGGAAAATCCAATTAGTTGGAGAAAGCATCACTGCTTTTCCAGAAGGCATATGAAAGGCTTACAGGAAAAGGAGGAGGAAAATCAGACCCATGCATGCATGAAGTTTTCCAAAAGTCTCTTGGAGGTAAATTATTTCAATGAAAATCTGGCTTATGAAAGATATTTTAACACCATTAGCTTGGAGTGAATATTAGTCTTAATACACAATTAAGACAATACAATGTGAATAATGGAGATCTTAAAACAATAGTGGCATTTTAGAAAAGCAGCAACAAACACATGACC